AAAGAGTGCTTGGAGGTGACAAAGCTGGAGGAATATATGTGAATCATGTTTGGAAACAACCACAGTTTAGGATGATCTCATTCCTTACTGAGTGTTATTTCCTAGTGTGGTGGGAGGATTAAAATTCCCAAAGCTATTCACATGTTAAATAATGTTGTGACACGTAAAATCAGAGAGTAAAGAGTAAGCTTTCTTACTTCCTATGCCATCTTTCTGTCACCCTGTAACTTGCAGTTATTCTGTCCTGATCTCATGCTCTGTAAAATGATGATGTTAATTAATGGTCTGACAATGTTATGTGTAAGGGATTTCTTGGTTATGGCTCTGCCTAATGTGACGAGATTCCCATGGTTTAGGAAGGAAGGGACCAAGGGGTATCTTGTTATATGGAGGCAGAATGAATATGCATATGCCTTCCCTTTTATCTCATCCTGTGTGGTAGGCATTAACTTATACCTGTTGATCCTGCATGGGACAATTTAGGAGTTACCTTTTTCTCCTCCTAGGGTTCGAAAGATCTTGAACTTGCGAGTATTTGAAGATGAAAGTGGGAAGCACTGGTCCAAAAGCGTGATGGATAAACAGTATGAAGTCTTGTGTGTGAGCCAATTTACTCTCCAGTGCATCCTGAAAGGAAACAAGCCCGACTACCACATGGCAATGCCCACAGAGCAGGCGGAGTGTTTTTATAACAACTTCCTAGAGCAGCTAAGAAAAGCCTACAAACCAGAGCTTATTAAAGGTAAGAGCAAAAGGTTGGTAAGGTCCTTGATGTGACTGAAGGACCTGGTTCGTATGTGCTCTGTCCTGATCGTTACTTTCTTTATTCTGTGATTTTCTGTCTGTGTCGCAAAGGAGCTGTCTTTCCATGGCAGTAGATGAGGGGTTGTTATGGTATTTTCACTAGCAGCCAGGCAGGGTGATCACTCCAGTCTTCCTCTAGCCAAGCCGTTTCCTGGCATTCCTCTGGAATAGTTTGACATGTAGATGTATTGTTACTGGCTGTACAGTGTGAGCAATGACCCTGACAACATAACCCAGAGAGGCTGCAGCCATGAGAACAAGCTTAGGGG